TCAGAACTGGTAAGACGGTTGGAGGATGGAATTGGCCTAGGGCTGATTCTGATACTGACTCTTCTCCTCCCCAGTTATGAAACCAGAGGTCAGATGCCATTCCCGAAGGCTCTCTACCCCCCCCCCAGATATAATGACAAAAATATGAAAGAGAGAGAGAGTAATTGCTAAGGCTGCTTATGTACAACAAAATATTCCATGAGATTTGGTTCCTTTGTCTGGTGAAATGAGTTTTTGTTATGTGGCTTCTTGCCTTGTTCTGTCAAAAAGAGTTAAGAATATTTCTTGCATCTCCTGGCAGTAGGCTTTCTAGCAAGTGGGGTGATTCTGAGCAGTTTGTGGAACTAAAAGTGCTATAAGAGTTGCCCAAACAGCTCATAGGCCAAGAGGAGACCTGTCATATGGTGATCAAGAGAAAGCTTGTCCTAAGTGGGCCAAGAAGGAAGCATGTACTGAGGGAGCTTGCATAAAAGAGAGAGAGAGCTATTGTACACTAGAGAAAGGAGAAATGTGGTCTTCACTTCCATATAACTTGCCTGTGTGCTTTCTGACATTGATTCTGTTCCTACTCCTTCTAAATTTAATCCTTATCTTATGTTAACTAATAAACCATATAATAGTATGATCTGTGAGTTCTCTGACATTATTGCAATAAATTATTAAACCCAGCAGAGAAGTAAAGAGTACCATGAGAGGATGGTGGATCTCAGCATTGGTAAAGGTCTAAAAGTGGAGGTATGTCTATCCTCTACCTCATAAGAATAAGCTTTGGGTTGATCCTGATATTGAGTCTCATTCTTCTTGAAATTAGGTGAGGTTTGACAATACCACTGCCACTACCATATAACAACTGGTGTTATAAGTTATAAGTGGGTTAAGAAGGTTGAGAATTGTCTGACTTCTACTGCATAGGAATCAGCTTTGGGCTAATGCAGATTCTCATTTTCCCTGAACTTAGATCAGGTCCAACACTTCTGCTATCACATTACACTTGGTTTAGAGGTTTAGCCTTATGGTTTCATGGGACTACCCACTTAGTAGCTTAAAAAATATACGTTTAGTGCTTCTATACAACCTTCTAGGTCATTGCATAGTGCTTGTAAGCAGCCATCCAGTACAACAACTGCTCACCAGTCACCTGGAGCAACAGGAGAGTCAAGAATAGGAGGATATGTAATACGTGGCTTATTGCCTCCATGAACAATTGTTTGCTTTGCCATGAGACTAAGGGAATAGGATAGTGCCTGGCCACCATTACTAAATGTTTTAAGAAAAGATGGACTCCAGGCTTTCTGGAGCTATGGAGTCTGGATGAACCCCTGAAACTATTGCCCTTTGAAAATCTTTAAACCAAAAATAGCCCCCAAAATCTTATTAAAACTGAACAATAGCTTAACTAGTAAATCATGCCTGCCTTGAGCATTGTGCACGTTTAGATCTATCTATCTATCGATCTATATGGGATCAAATTGGCAACCAACTTGAAAGATTAGAAAGAAACTTTAGGGGACAGTGAGTTTATGTTACTAAGGAAATAACAACTCAGAAAAGGAGGTTGAGAATGGTTATGCAATGCAAAGAATGTAATTATTGTCACTTAATTGTATGTGTAGAAACTGTTGAATTGGTGTATCTTTTGTTGTCTTTATTACCGACAACAAAATAAAAGAAAAGATGGACTGTACTGCAAGATTGGCAGTTCAAATCTACCAGGTACTCCTTGGGAGAAAGATGAGACTATCTGGGAAACCCTACAAGGTTGCAATGAACCAGAATCAACTTATGCAGTGGGGCTGGGGTTTATTTTCTTTTGTTTTTATATTATTGTGTGATATTATTAATATAATATTATGATTTTGTGGAAATTTCAAAATAGTTGTTAGGTCAGCTTTAACTAGACTATGGGTGGTGGTGGTTATGTGCCGTGGAATTCGTTCCGACTCATAGCAATCCTGCATAGGGTTTCCAAAGCTGTAAATCTTAATGGGAGCAGAAAGCTTCATCTTTCTCCCATGGAACCGCTGGTAGTTTCGATTTACTGATTTGAGGTTACCAGCCCAACTCATAACCACTACGCTACTAGAGCTATGAACCTTTATATCTTACAAAGGACTCCTGGTGTTGCGCTGTGGGTTAATGCTCTGGACTGCAAAACCAGTTTGAACCACAAGGTTGGCAATTCAAGCTCACCAGCTGCTCCTCAGAAACCCTATACAGGGTCACTATGGGTTAGAATCAACTAAACACTTAACAACAACAATATCTTACAAAGCAGTTTTACATTTAGTTTTATCATTCAATCTGTATAACTACCTTGTATGATCAGTATTATCCTACCTTTTATAAAACAGAAAGCAGGCTCAAAGAGTAGTGATTTATTCAAGATTATAAACAGAACTGGATTTCCAGTTAAGGTCTTCCAGCTTGAAAACCTTGCTTCTTGAACTCTTTGTTATATATCTCCTGACGTTTATTATTTTAATGACAGTATGTTCTTGTGTAGAGTCCTGGTATGGTGCTGTGGGATGAAGCATTGGACCACAAGGTCGGTTTGAACCACAAAGTTGATAGTTCAAACTCACCAACCACTCCTTGGAAACCCTATATAGGGTTGCTATGAGTCAGAACCAACTCGACAACAATTAACAATGACAACAACTTGTTATTGCATATACAAATTCCATAAAAGTAGCTGTTTTGTTTTTGATTTCCAAACTTAAATCAAAATTTATCAATTAAGTAAATTTCTTGTAAGTAATTGCTCCCTTCCTCCCCATTCTTGTCCTCCTCTGTGTGTTCAGCAATATTGGTAGAAATTTTGATTGTCAGGACTTGGGGGTGGAAATGATACTGGCTTCTAGTGCTTACAGACCAAGATTGCTGCTAAATATTCAATATGCACAGGAGGGCAGCCCCCAAACAAAGAATGATATGATCAAAATGTCAATAGGACAAGGTTTAGAAATCCTGCTGTAAGAATAATACTTTATTTACCCATTTTTAATCTTGATATGCCTGACCCAACTCATGATATTTTCCATTGTCTCATATGCATGAGAAAGCTGGACAGTGAGTGAAGATGACCCCCCCCCAAAAAAAAAATTGATGCATTTGAATTATGATTTTAGAGAAGAATATTGACTACATTCATGGACTGCCAGAAGAGTAAACAAATCTTAGAAGTACGGCCAGAATGGTCAATAGATAGACGATAGCATGGCTTTGCCTTATATATGCATAATTTGAACATGCTATCAGGAAGGATCAGTCCCTGGTGAAGGACATCATGCTTGGTAAAGTAGAGGATCAGTGAAAAAGAGGAAGACTTTCCATGGGATGGATTGACACAGTGGCTACAACAATGGGATCAAATACAGCTCTGATTTTGAGAACGGTTCAGGACTAGACAGTGTTTGTTTTCTTGGACTTAGGATTGTTAGGAGTTGAAACAGATGCATTGTCACCTAACAGCAGAAATCTTGACTTGGAATCCCTCTTTCCATTCTTACTATATAATGTTTTTTCTCCCCAAAATGATTTAAAATCTTGCTCTTTAGGTAGTTAGTATAAAAGTTTAGCAAAGGAATAATCTGACACATTTCAGTACAGTTATTAAGAATATGCATGAATGCTTCACTAAAAATGTCATATATAAATTAGAATTTTCTCAAAAATAATATGTTTGTAGGTGGGAGAAGAATAATTAAACTACAGTACAAATACTTTATTGCAAACAAATATTTTAATGATGTTTTTCTTATATTCTAACTTTATTTAGCTTATTTTGAATGCCAATAAAATATATAAAGTACTCTTCACTTTTATATAGTTGTTGATGTTAAGTGCTGATAGAGCTTTCATTTTTTGTCCATTTTATTTAATGTGTTGCCTATTTATTTATACTAGGTATATTTTTAAGTATTATCTAGTTTGTGTATCTTTGAGGAGAAAATTTGGTGTAGATTTTATAGTATCCAGACTTTCCAGATCAAGGTCTTCCAAATTGGATGTTTAAAAAATTAATCTTTAGTGTTGAAGTACATTATTACATAACCTATAAAATGGACGTGTCATTATAAGCTTATAATCACTGTAATAATAAAAAAGTGAGTTAAAGATTTTATAGAAATACTCACTACATATTTTCAGAGAATTTATAATTCAAAAACAATAAGTATAACAGAAAAGCATATACTGTAGTAAGAAAACCAGCTCTTATAGCATCTGTTGAGTTGGTAGTAAACTTACTGGCAATAGGGAGATTTCTGGAAAGCCAAAACAGTCTGCTTAATTGATAGCAGTTTGGCATACAAAAGAGTAGGAAGGAACCTTTTGCTGGCAAAGCTAGGTTATAAGCTTCTGGCTGTTGTCACTTCTAGATTCTCCCATTACATGTTGCTAAGACTGACTTGAGCCAGGTCATTTATTAAAAGATTTTAGTTTTAAAAATAAATGTAGTAAGGCCCTAAGATATGAGAATTTTAATATAGTTATATAAAACCATACTTCAACATCCTTAGAAATAATACAATACTATGCAAGTTACTAAAGAAATAAGAAAAATAATACTGTGTGCTCGTCATATGACTGTCCTTGGCGATTTTCATTTTCTGACAGCAAATGAAGGAGCACAAATTTTGCAATTTCAAGCATTTCATATACAGTACAGTTCTTTTTAAAATGCACTTAATAATAAAATGTTAAATACTGAATGACTTCCATTTTTGTTACTGAGAAAGTAATGTTCAAGTCTGAGATTTATGCAAAGTCATTTGTACTCAAAAAGAAAATTTAATAATTCTTTTCTTAATCCTGAGGTATCAATAATTTTGCAAAATTCTGGTGAAATTTTTTGTCATAAAATAAAACTGGATTTGCCTCATTATGTACTTAGTTTATAACTTTAAAATTTGGGAATAAAATTTTACATGTGTGTATATTACCACCACTATGAATAGAGTTCAACTATTCCAAATGTAATGAATTTTAGATTTTATGTTAAATGAACATTACTAATTACTAGTTATTACTTTCTGAAGTTCCCAAGTTGAACACTCATTCTGTTCAAAACACAACGGAATGTTGCTGGTTGTACTTCCCAGTACTTCATTGGGTTGTTGAATAAGCTTATTGCACTGTATAATGATTTCTTCATCTTTGGCACTGTTGGGCAGAAGTCATTCACTCCCACTTTTGTAATTGAATTAGAATGAAGGAAGATTATCTGTATTAGGAAAAAAGAATGGATCATTAATGTCTAGTACATATAAAAGGGAAAGATTCTGTTTGTGAGTTTATTTGTCTGTATTTGATATTTGAAATTATTTTCACTTAGAATGTGTATACAACAACAACACATATTAAATACCTGTTATGACTCAACATATGTGTTATAAGCAAAAGTGCTCCACATTTGGGATGTGGCATAGAATCGTGTGCAAGAACCGCTAATTGCAAAGTTAGTGGTTCAAATCCACCAGCTGCTCCTGGAAAACCCTACACAGGGTCACTATGAGCCGAAACCGACTTGATTGCAGTTAAAAACAACAAACAACATGAATGGATGGATAGATAGATAGATGAATATGGGTTCCTGGTGTGGCACTGTGGGATAATGCACTGGACTGCAAGGTCAGTGTGAACCACAAGGTTGTAGATTCAAATTCACCAGCCACTGCTCAGAAACCCTATTCAGTCAGGGTCGCTATGACTCAGAACCAACTCAAAGGCATTTAACAACAATAGATAGAGACATAAAGAAAGATGAAGGGGCTTTAAAAGTTCATAGAAAAATTCCATTATCTTTTAATTCCATTTTTCCATGAAATTGTTGAAGCTTTCTCATATGTGTATATGTATTATAAATTGACTTCAAAAAGTTAATAGAAAACTGGAATTGAAAGATAACTGAATATTTCCATGAACTTTTGAAGCCACATATGTATTGCAAAGGAGCTCTGGTAGCGGAGTGGTTACAAGTCTGGCTGCTAAACTTACAGTCAGCAGTTCAAAACTACCAGTGACTCCGTGGGAGAAAGATGAGGTTTTCTGCTCCCGTAAAGATTTACAGCCTCAGAAAACCTATGCAGGGTCGCCAGGAGTCAAAACTGACTCCACAGCACACTACAACCACTATCACCATATATATTGCGAGGGAGATATATATAAGATATATATAAGAAAGGGTTAGAATTGCTTCAGTGGTACATGTAGAGTATTAGCAATGAGCAGCAGAATGAAATGTAATGCTCCAAGAGTTTGTCTTGCAATATGAATAGCCTTTCTTGTCAGCAGTGAAGTTTCTGGGAAGTCAAAACAGTCTACTTAATTGACAGCACTTTGGCATATAAAAAAGCAGGAGCCTTTTGCTGATAAAGCTGGGATATGAGCTTCTGGCTGTTGTGACTTCTAGAATTTGCCTTTATACCTTGCTAAGACTGATTTGAACCATGACTTAGGCCATGATAACTCTAGATATTGTTAGAACTTTTAATTTTGGTGTTAGATCCCCCACCACCCCCTTTCCCCTGTCTTGTTAGTCTGGGAGATTTAGGTATACATGCTTTATTTGGTTCTTGTAAGTTTTCCAATATTAGTAACTGGCTCACAGCACTGATCACACTAAGTGTGTAAACTAGTGCTGGGTATGCTCTGTGAGAATTCATTGAATGGTATGCTTATGATTTATATCCTTTTCTGGTTTTGTTATAATTTTGTTCATTAAAAAAAATGCTAGCAAGCATAGAAATAGATTTGAGAGGGAAGAAGCTGGGGTCATAGCTGTGGAGTAAAGTAAGCAAAAGTGAGATCAGAGCGTGGGGTAGCTTACAGACAAAGGATGCAGGTGATTCTTACTGTTCACGTAGACATTTAAGACAGCATCTGAAAAGGCCTATGTTGTTACCTGGCAATCAACATCTGCTCAGACACATCCATTTTGATGACTGTGTCTCAAAGGAAATTTGATTATTGCAAACAATGCTTATTTAAAGATAGACCAAAAATAAAATTAGAAGCTAAGGGACTAGGGCCCAGTTTCCTTCTCTCATACAGCATATAAGAAAAATGGATTAAGGTGAAGTGGGAATCCATACAGTTTCTTCACCTGAGGTCCAGGTGTAAAATCTTGTTTTCATTATTTTATTGGAGCTTCATCAGAATCTCAAAAAGAATCCTTGACCCCTCTCAACTAATCAAGAGTTATCAGATTAGAAGGAAAGTCTTTTTAATAAAAAGAAATGAAAACATATGAACCCATAAAATTTAAATACTGACATTCAATTAGTTATCTCTTCATTTTTAAATAAAATAAAGCATATACAGTAAGAATATAGCAGTATATTAAAAGTAAAAAGACTTGACATTAGTCTTCATGTTTTGCCTTTGTGAATGTTTTCAGAATGAAAGGCTATATGATCCTAGTTGTTTTTTTCCTAACCAGTCTGCGTTAATAAAACCACCCCTCCTCTGAGAAATGTGAAATTAGCTGCATCAGGAACTACCACAATGGCAATAGCAGATTCATTAGGAGGACCCAGAAAATGAAGATGGGTACTGGAGCTTTTCAGGTGACATCTATGTAGAGTCATTCTAACTCCCTTCTACTTCTCAGAACATCTCTTGCAACCTTGTTTGAACCACCTTGCATTTAAAAATTAGTTTGAAATACTAATGTTGTTATTGTTAATTGTCAGTTTCGACTCATAGCAACCCTGTATAGGGTTTCCAAGGAGTGGATGGTGAGCTTGAACCCTTCACCTTGCAGTTCAAACTGACCTTGCAGTTCAGTGCTGTAACCCATAGTGCCACACCAGGACTCATTGAAATACTTACATATCTTACAAAAACTGAAGAAAAAAAGAAAAAAGCTAACGTTTACCAAACAAAAATAGAATGCTTTACCTGGAGATATTTCAACTCATGTAATCCTGAAGGAATTTTTTTAAGTTTATTCTTTTCCAAATGGATTTCTCTTATGCGTGGAATATTAGAAAAACTTCCATTTTCAATATCTGTGATTCTGTTGTTTCCTAGACCCAACCTAAAAATGACATAAAATTTGTTAACTCTTATGCAGGTGGTCAGGTGTAAAATACTGCAACCCAAACAAAAACACTGCAACCTAGTTAGAAATACAAATTTGTCCTATTTGTATGCATTTTCAGAAGACAGTATTTCATGGCTTTGTTTAATAATTTATATTTGTTTCAGTATGTAACAGCTCTCTTAAGACTTTCAGTGTCATAAATTCTTTATTTTAAATTAAAACAAACAGGAATTTTGAAAAGTGTATTTTTCTTCTCTGTACTTTTCCTTTCCTGTTAGTATGTTGCTGTTGTTGATAAGTGCCACCGAATCATTTCCAACCCATAGTGACCCTGTATAGGGTTTCCAAGAAGCAGCTGGAGAGCTTGAACCACCAACCCTGTGGTTCAAACCGACTTTGCAGTCCAGCACATTATTCCACAGCACCACACTAGCAATAGTAGTTGTTCTTCGTTATTTTTCCTTCACACTCTCCAGTAACAGCCATGGTAATTTTGACTAGAGTCCTAAATACGAAATCTTAAAAAGGTATTCATAATATCATAATCACAGGTACTACTACTTTTTAAGTTAAGATTTTGGGGACACTTACCTTTGCAGATCTTTATATCGTTTAAAATCTTCCAGTTCCACATTTGCAATTTTATTATCATCTAAATGAAGCTCCAGTAAAGTTGATGGTAGTCCTAGTGATAAGGAAAAAATGACTGGTATTAGATGAGTTAGAACAAGTCCCATTGTTTGTTTGTTTGTTTTTTGCTATAATTTGCACACATATTTGGTTACATTTCCAGATGAGTAAACTATAATGTTGATGGTTTGCATCAGAAACAAAGTGAATTGAATTTCTCTTAACAGCTAGCCTAACCACTTTTTATCTAAAAAGTTTTCATAACTCTGTCCCCTTATGCTCCGCCACATTCATGGATATAGTTGCAATATAGGATTTTTTTTTTCCCTCTTTATCAATTTGCAGAGTAAAGAATGGATATAATGGTAACCTGTGAAGATTTTTGTAATATTATGAGCAAATGGGTTTATAATAGCTTTAGTGTCTAAATTAAGGAGCTCTGGTAGAATAGTGGTTATGAATCGGGCTGCTAATTTCACGGTCCGCAGTTTGAAACTACCAGCTGTTCCACAGGAGAAAGATGAGGCTTTCTGCTTCTGTAAAGATTTATAGCCTCGGAAATCTTATACAGGGTCGCTATGAGTTGGAACCGACTCCACAGCATATAACCACCACCACTAGTGTCTTAATTCATTTCAGTGCTTATTTTTTTGAACTGGTTATAATTTTTATATAAATTAAGTGATATCTGAATGTAGTCAGTGCTCAAAGAATGCTTATTCCTTTTTTTTCCTTATATATTGCATATCCTGATCCTAACCCTCCCCAGATTAGTTGAAACTGTAATGAAAGAGACAAATAAGAATACGCAAATTATTCAAGCTTTATTTTATTAGTTAGTCCTACATACAAAGTATTATTTATTAAGCAAATGTTTTAGTTACCTGTGAAAAAGTTTTTCTTTTTCCAATTGTTATTAAAACATTTTCTTTTCATAGTAATGGTAAAGGATAAAGGCAATTGATGAAGATAAAACATCCTTAAGAATATTAATGCTTTTTATTGGCTAAATTTATATTGATTCTAGAATATACATTACATTTTAATAAAATAGAAAGCAGAAAAAGAATTATTCTATATTGAGAGGGTTCTAATTTCTCAGGTTTTAATTAATTAAATTTAATTATAGTTTTGAAATTACTATATGTCATCTTCTACATGTTACAGTCAAAGGCTTTGTCCATAAAGACTATATATACAAGCTGAGCAAATCCACCATACATACAAAATCACTAGAAAAATATACAGTATACCAACCTATACTGGAAAATGTTTTAGAAAATCAGGAAAGAGTGAATCTCTGTTTATGTTGAAAAGTCAGGAAAACTTAATAGAGGGACTGTAGAATTTGAGGACAATTTTTATGCTACCTAAGATATCAAGAAGGCATAGTTTGGCACTGTAGGATAAGCACAGGACCACAAGGTCAGTTTGAACCATAAGGTTGGCAGTTCAAACTCACCAGCTGCTCCTCAGAAATCCTATACAGGATCGCTATGAGTTAGAACTGACTCAACAGCACTTAACAACGGCAACAAGACATCAAGAAGGTAGTTAATTTAAAATAAAAGTATACCCTCAATAGGATAAGTGAACAAAGGTATTAATGTGAGTAGAAACTTATATGAATAATTTTCTTTTAGAAGGACCAGCACAAAGCTGGTTCCTATATGGCAAAGGTTAAAGATGTCCCACATGTCCAACTTTTCCAACTATTCTGTCATCTCTCAATTACTCCTCCCCTCATAATTCTCTCTCCTGTCTTTGTGGTCTGCAGTTTACTGTAGTGTTACACAGAACTCTCAAATGGTCAGGGAAATGATTAATGAGGTTATGGAGGCTGGCAAGTCCTAAATCCATGGGGATCATCAGGAGCTATGGACCCAAATATGCAATCAGATTATAGGTCACTGGCTCAAGTCCCAAGAACTGGAGGTCAGATAAAGATGAGCCAGATGCAGATTTCAGAACAAGAGAGAGAACTTTGCTAGAGCTTTCCTATAGATTGGATGCAGACCAGAACACTAAAGAAACTAAAGGCGGTGATTTGAATCATACCTTCTAGTAAGGTGGAGACTCAAGATACATTCCATCCTAATCCTACATCATTACCATAATGGACTTTAAAATGGGACTATAACCATAGACAGGCAAAGAGAATATATCACAAAATGGAGAGCTATGACTAGAAGGACCATATTAAGTAATTTACTATACTGAAAAGGTCAGTAATCATGACAAACATAGCATGTTTTGTACAAGTATTGTACTTTCTTACCCTATCTTTTAAAAAAAAAATTTTTAATTTTCCCTGAGCCATTGTGTAGTTGAATTTTCTAAATGGCCAAGAAACAGTTTTTCCATTATCCTTATGTTAAGTTATATCTGGTAAGGACTTTTGGATGTGTACATAATTTCATTCAGTCATTATAAGTCATTATTGATTGGATTATAGCATGTAGGCAGTTAGTGTACATATTTTCATGAAAAAATGACAAGAAACAAAAAAATTTCACTAGCTTCTGAATGTCAAAGAGATCTTATAGAAGTGATAGTGTAAACTCAGAGATTTCATTACAATGTCAATTTGTTAAGATATAAAATGTTTTTTTAGACTTAGGAAAATCTCAAGAATTTCGTGAGAAGTTAACTCATTTTTAAATACACTTTGACATTTGAAGTAAACCGCAATCAGGCCATTTTGCATTATAGAAAAGTGAACCTGAAAGAACAGTGATGGCATGTGGAGCCGTGTTAGCCCCTGCTAGTCCTCCAGGCTTTCCTCTGCCAGGGTTCCTCTCCATGACTGCTGATCTGCATCTGCGTTCGTTCTATCACTTTCTCTTCCCTGCTATGTCTGTCTTCACTCTTTGTTTCTGTGTCTGCTTCTTCCATTTGAAAGGAATTTTATTTATTTAACTTACTGGATAGGTTTTTTTAAATTTCTTTTTTATTCTAAATGTGCAAAGATGAATAAAACGTTTTAGGTTTCTTGCAGGAAAGCAACCATCTCCTTCAAAGCTAAATTAAGACAGTTTTTTAAAATTTGTGTGGTTCTAAATTAAGATGTTTTATCCTAGATAGAAAAACTATTTCCTCACTCTTTATGTGATTTTTCTCCTAATTGAAAGGTCACTACTTGATTAATAATTTCATCTTTGCTATGGTTTTTAAGTTATTGACAGCCTCGACAACCCTGTCTAGTGTTGCTGTAAATTAAGACCAACTTGTCAGCACTTAACAACAACAAAACAACAGGTACTTTTGGCGAGAAAGATGGGACTTTTTGTTCCCACAAAGATTTACAGCCTCAGAAACCCTTTAAAAAGGTCACTATGAGTCGAAACCGAATGGCTGGTGCATAGCAATAGCAACAAGTAGTTCACAGAATGATTGTTGTTGTTAAGTGCTGTCCAGTTGGTTCCAACTCATAGTAACCCTGTATTGGGTTTCCGAGGAGCAAACTGGTGATACTGTGGTTCGCAGTCTACAGTGCCATAACCAGGAATCCAAATATAGGCAAATAAATGTCAAGAAAGAGAAAGAAAAAGTTCATTTCTTCCTAAGATGTGTTCGTACTAGAGGGAAAAAAATTCTGGTTTAATACTTTCAAAAATAAAACACTATATGTAACCATAAGAAAATTCCTAGATTTCATACTACACTGGCCAGATACACTAGTAAAAAATATTTCTAATTACAGTTTGCTTTTGACAATGTATATAATGCAAAGTTTACAACATTACATTTAATCTTCATTTATAAAGATAACAATATTTTTCCATATTCTATGTTAGAAAGGTAAATGCAAACCTTTAGGAACTGATGTTAGTTTTGCTTCTGCAATTCTGATATGGAATACTGTTACTCCTTCAAATGCTCCTGGTTCTATACCGTTATTATCAAGAGGATTTGCACTCATTTCTGTGGGAGAAATTATATAATTTTACTTGCATATATTATGTAAGAAGGAACGTTACAATGCAGAGATACACATCCCAAGAAAATTTTGATGTATACACTTCATTGTTCAGGCTCATTTTCATTTAGTATTTCTTCTTTCTATGTTTCTCTTCTTCCCTTACTGCGAGCCTCAGAAAAAGACAGTTTATTATTGCATAAGCTGGATTACAGAACAAGCTCATTATTTTGCTTTCAATTAATAAATCAATAACTTTCTAGGTTTCATTATAGTCATATTACACCCGAAAAAATAAAAGATTTACCTTTATGTAATTCAAAATGTTTGTGTTTCCCAGTATATATCCTGTTTATTTGTTACCTAAAAGAAGCCTCTGTGACAGAGTGTCTGTCATATAGTCACTATGAATAGGAATTGACTCAACAGCCACAACAACAAACTTAAAAACAAAGAAATTATAAGTCAATTTGAAATTGTGATTTGATTAATAGAAATATAACTGAGGAAATTTCAGTAAATCAGGCTATTTGGTATATGCCAAACTCTTTTTTGAATGAAACAAATGAATAAATGAATGAGAATATTACTTGGGAATTTTGAGAATAACATGAGAAAAATGCTATAGTTATATGATGGGTGGTAAAAGTAAAACAGAATGGGATTTAAGGTATACTATTAAATTTTTTTTTATCAATAATCTAAAATTGAAAATATAATCTTAACTCGAGCCAAAAGTTAATTTTATATTTAAATAATATCTTGATTAAATTTGTATATTATAATGGAGTAATTGTTGTATGCTATTGAAGTTTGTTCTGACTCATAACAACAGGTGGATTTGAAGTACTGACCTTGTGGTTAGCAGTCCAGTGCTTATGCTACAGCGTCACACCAAGACTTCATTAAAAATACTAATGGAGGGTCCAGTTAGAAAACAGACACACAACGTGTATCAACAGAGATGTTTGTATGGGTCACAAAATTGTTGATAAGTGCTGTCAAGTCGGTTCCGACTCATAGCAATCTTGAGCATCAACAAGCGACTGGTGAGATTGAACTGTTGACCTTGCGGTTCAAACCGACCTTTCAGTCCAGTACCTAATTTTGTTTGATATTACGATCGATTTTAAAGTGACTGTGCAAGGTAAGGATATTAGATTCAAAATTCAATTTTAGAAATAATCAGTCTTAAGATTAGTTGATAATGATAAATTTCTTTACATTTGTATATTGCTTATAATTTCAAGATGTCCCATTCATTTGAAAAACTTTCCCAAACTTACCCAGTACATGTAATGCATTCATTCCTTTGAATGTGTCCTTTTGTATTTTCTTAACTTTATTATCATGAATTCTGAGTTCTGCTAAGGACTTGGGAAGATTAAGTGGTATTTCAGTTAGCTGATTATGAGACAAATATAGCCTTCGGAGCTTCTTTGTGGTTAGAAAGGCTTTCGGATGAATCTTAATTAGCTTGTTGTTGTTTAGAATCAGACCCTAAGATATAGAAAGTTAGACAGTATCAGAAAGTGTATTCCATTTATCTATATTATGTAATGATGAGTCAGTCATGAAAATCAATGCGATTTGTGGCATTCATGTACTTGGTCAACCATATAAATAATTTTCCAATCTAATACAAGCTAAACCAAGATCTATCATTGAGTTGGAACTGTGGTCAAAGGTTTAGTGACTTATTTTGCACCTTTGGTTTTACATTAAAGCTCACAAATGGCTCTTTCGGATCCCTGTATAGGGTCACTATGGATGTTTCTTAACAACCACAACAATAACAACATTTTCAATTTAGCTTAAATAGGTAATAAGTGACTAGATCTTACATATCATTTCTAATCTCACCTTTCCCATTAGGATAATGACCATAGTTACTATCCTATCTCACAGTCTTATTTGTAGATTATAAAGTTTAAACCAAAACCAACCCCACTGCTGTGGAGTCAATTCCAATTTAAGTGTTTATAGTATCTGTAATGTAGTAGAAGGAGTGCTGGTAGCGTAGTGGTTACAAATAGGGCTGCAAACCTCAGGTCGGCAGTTCGAAACTACTAGCGGTTCCACAGGAGAAAAATGAGGCATCCTGCTTCCGAAACGATTTACAGCCTCGGAACCCTGTGCAGGGTTGCTACGAGTCGGAACCGACTCCACGGTACTTAACAGCAACAACAGAATTAGATTACTGTTGTAAAAGATAAGAAAATGTTTTCAGGCTAAAAGAAATATTCTTTAGTAATTTACTGGGACTAATTCAACAAATTCACTGAGGGTTTGCTGTTTTTGTTAAGTGCTATGGCGTTGGTTCCGACTCATAGCCACCCTGCATAGGGTTTCTGAGGCTGCAAATCTTTTTGGGAGTACAAAGTTGCATTTTGGTAATTTGAAGCAGCTGGTGTACTTGGACAACTGACCTTGTGGTTCACAGTCTAGTATTTATTCTACAGAGCCAAAATTTAGTATTTTGTTGTTGTTGTTAAGTGCCATTCAGTTGGTTCTGACTCATTGCCACCCTATATAGGGTTTCCAAGAAATGGCTAGTGGGTTTGAGCTACCAACCTTGAGGTTAGCACTAAGTCCAGTTTTTTGTTTTTGCATAACTTTATCTTGGATGTCTATTAATGTTTATTTACCTTTTCCCCCACCTTACAAAATTCCCTCAGTGTTCTGGCATATTTTCAGACTACTGGGAGGTACTGTAAGGAGTCCTAGTGTGATGCAGTGAGAATCAGCACTGGAGTGCTAACCACAGGGTCGGCAGTTCAAACCCATCAACTGCTCCTTGGAAACCCTATCTAGAGTCAAAACCAACTCAGTGGCACTTAACAACAAGAGTGGCATGGTGGTTTACGCATTGGGCTGCTAACCACAGGGTTAGCAATTCCAGTCCACCACTCACTCCATGGGAGAAAGAAGAGGCTTTCTGGTTCTGTAAAGATTTACAGCCTCAGAAACCCTACATAGAGTTGCTATGAGTTGGAATCAACTCAATGGCAGTGTGTAGCTTAGGATGTAATATAGCAGAAGAAAGATGTGACCGTCTATTCTGGTAAACATTTAGAGTCTCAGAAACCCTTACAAACTTGCTATGAGTTGGAATCAACTTGATGGCAGTGAGTTTTGGAAGTTAATAATGGATCCTGAAGAATAACTCAGCTCCTCCTCAGTTATATCACTATTTCTCAGTGTAAGACAATATAACCTTTAGAGACAATGTAACCTCAGAAAGTAGAATAGCTTGCTATCCTAGGAACTCTGCTTTCTCTACAGCATTTTCAAGGGTGCATAACTATTTGGGTTACTAATTGTCTCATATCTCAAGTGTTCTGTAACTAAGAGATTTGGGGGATATGGAAATTAAAGTACTAAAACTGGAACAAGTTAGTCACTCTAATAACTATTTTCATTTCCAAATGGGTGTAACCCCAAACCAAATCCACTGCCATTGAGTCACTTCCAACTCATAGTGAACCTATATAGGGATTCCAAGACTATAAATCTTTATGGGAGCCGACAATCTCATCTTATTCTCACAGATCGCTGGTTTGAACTGCCAACCTTGTGGTTAGCAGTCCAGTGCTAATGTTTCTTCTCCGCCAGGGTTTGTTTAAATAGGCATAGTTCAGCCCTTTTCTTATTGTCAGATTTTGTAGAAAGAATTTTCCATGTATGCCAAGGAGGATGGTAAATTGCTAAGTATTCTTTAGGACCTTTTTGTCCCTCTGTACTAATCCAAGTCAGATAAATTTTTTGCGAGAACAGCTCTAGAATCATTCCTTTAATGAATTTTGCCCCTAATCCTATTCTGCAACAGTCTTCCCATTGTTTGCAGACAGGTTTAATATGCCTTACTGGTATTACTCAAGGAGCTCTGGTAGCATAATGGTTATGAATCGGGCTGCGAGCCTCAAGGTCAGCAGTTCGAAACTACCAATGGTTCCGCGGGAGAAAGATGAGGCTTTCTGCTCCCGTAAAGATTTACAGCCTTGGAAACCCTGTTCGGGGTCGCTATGGGTCGGAACCAACTCTACGGCACTTAACAATAACAATAACTAGTATTACTCAAGTTGTTGTCGCTATGAAGAAACACCTTGGCAGTTAAAATAAGCTTCGTTTTTATTTTATGATTGTATATGAAAAAGGTTGTTGTTGTTAAGTGCTGTTGAGTCAGTTCTAACCCATAGCGATACTATATAGGGTTTCAGAGGAATAGCTGGTGAGCTTGAACTGCTGACCTTGCAATTCAAATGGCTTTGCAGTCTGGCGTATTAACCCACAGCACCAAACACCAGGACTCTAATGAGAAAGGTTACACCTAAGAAAAGAGTTAAAACTATATTTTGTTACCAAACCTGATAAAATATAATTCTTTCATAACAGAATATCAATTAAAAGCTCATTCTAGTTTCCTTTGTTTATACTGAAAAATAAGGTGAAGGAGGTAATTTAACAACTTAGTGGATCACAAAGATGGTTGTTGTGGTGTAATGAATTGTTTAATATGTCCCTTCTAGCCTTAGTCCCATCAAATAACTTTTTGCCTGATGGGTTTGAGTAAGAGAAGGTGGGAGAAGATACTGATAGGTTGACATGATTTCAGCTGTGGATGTTAACAGAGTTTATTGTAATTGTAAAAACTTGAAATTCAATGGTGATGGTGGTGGTATGCTGTAGAGTCAGTGCCGACTCATACCGACGCTGTATAAGATTTCTGAGACTGTAAATCTTTACGTGAGTAGAAAGCCTCAACGTTCTCCTACAGAACAGCTGGTAGTTTCAAACTGCTGACCTTGAGGTTAGCAGGCTGACTTGTAACCACAGTGCTACTAGAGCACCTTTGAAACTCAAATATTGGTATACAATGAGCCATGTCAGGAGTAGAGTTTCTTACTACTCTCAAGACGAAAGAGCCAGGATGGCAGCACATCTTTTGGACCCCGGAGACCCTTGCACATTGAGCCTCCTCCACTCTGGGACAGAAAGCTATGACATTGGAGGAGTGGCAGAGCAGTGGGCTTCCCATCTCATTGAGCAAGTAAAGCTGAATGGCTTTGGGCAGGAAGCTTGCTTGTAGAGTGGAGTCCAGTTAGGTACTTAAGAGTGGGAATTAGGTTTGTTGACTCACAGAGCTAGAGCCGAATGCCTTCAGTCTTAGGTTTATGGTGTTGTGGAGTGTCCTATGGGCATTTCTCAGCAGCTGACTGGAGGGTCCCTGAGCATTTTCTGATCCTGTATTGTAACCTGTTAACTTCCTAATAAATCCCATAACTGTTAATATGGTGTCTGGGTTCTGCATAGGCATTGCAATGAATCATCCAACCCAGCTGAGTAAGCAGTACAGTGGAAGGAATGGATGGTGTCATTCTTTTTTGCAGTTGTGAACTGCAAAATTATTAATATTATTTTAGTTATGAGGAATCAAGCACAATAAAAAAAAAAAATGGACTTGCGTTTGGTCCCCTATTAGTATCAAATCTGCCCGTAAATCCTTTTTACTTTCTGTGTATCAGGCTTTTCTGTTGTGAGTCCCAAAGTAAATGTATACCTTAGTAAAGATCCACTATTTTGACTATTGTTTTTTGTGTATACTTTTTCCTCTGGCTTAGGCATGAAGTTATTGGAACTATGTAAAACGAAGGATAAGTAATACAAAGTAGAGGGAGGGTTTTTACTTAACACTGTAAAATGCTATCCTAGCATGTTGGGTTGGCAGAATATCTCTAGCTAAATACTTTAAGTGTTGGCTTTACATGAAAATTACAAAAATGGGAGTAATATTACATATAATCACATTGCTTGTTAGCAAACTGTGGTTGTTACATGCATAAAGACAGAAGATAAGTATAACCTTTTACAAGTGGAACAAACAAACAAAAAAAGTGGAACAATTTTCCATAATAAATGTGACCATAAGAATATGTTGGAAGTAAACAGAATGTTGGTATGTATGTGTGTGTGTTTTGAGTGATTTGACTCATTCTATAATACTGATATTATACTCATTCTATAATACTCATACTATAATAATATTGTCCATTTTGTAAGAGTCAGAATTCATACAGGCAACTAAAACAATATAGAGAATTTACAGAACATCTAAGAAGGATTTTATACTCTTTAAAGACAGGTACCTTATATGGTGGTATTATAACTAAACAAGTGTTTTGAAAATGACACAATATAACAAAATTCAAGTGTGAAGTGTATGTTTTAAAAAGTGCTTTAAATTAGTATGTTGTTATTCAGTTGGTTAACACTAAGGTGGTAGAACAATAGTTAATGATTTAATACTTGCTTTTTATGTATTGAGAGAGGTAAGAACCTTGTGTCTTCTCTCATTTAATGTCAATAGGATCAGATACTAGTATTATACTCCTTTAAGGATCCCTGTTGTGGCATGTATGATAAAGCATTGGACCGCAAGGTTGGCAGTTCAAACTCACCAGCTGCTCCTTGGAAACCCAATATAGGAACCAATGAGACAGAACCAACTCAATGGTATTTAACAAAAATAAGTATACTTCTTTTACAGCTGCAGATGCAAAGTTTGTTGTTGTTAAGTGCCATCCAATTGGTTACAACTCATTGAGAGCTTGTATAGGGTTTCTGAGGAGCAGCTGATGGGTTTGAACCACTGACCTTGCAGTTAGCAGTCAGATTCTTATTCTGTGGGTCCACATCAGGACACTTAATAACAGCAACAAGATAAAGCAGTGGGTTCAGGTAATATTTTCTTGCATTCTACATTAATGTGTAATACTCATAACAATCCAATGTGACGGAATGAAAGTGCCCCACAGAGTTTTCTAGGCTGCCATCTTTATGGGCTCAGACCTCCAAGTCTGTTGTCCACAGAGCTCTGGGTGGGTTCCAGTAACCAACCTTTAAGTTACCAATCAAGCACTTAACTATTATTACACCAGGATTCTTTTGATACTAATGAGTTCCTGTAAATAATTTTATTTAGTCATTTTAATGTATACCATTATTACTTAGGAGTCCTGGTGTGGCACTGTGGGTTAATGTGCCAGACTGCAAAGCCATTTGAATTGCAAGGTTGGCAGTTCAAGCTCACCAACTGCTCCTCAGAAACCCTATCCAGGGTCGCTATGGGTCGGAACCAACTCGATGGCACTTAACAACAACAACGTTATTACTTAAATAGATTTTAAGCTCTTTTAAAGACCATTTACTTAAACTCTTAGCCTGTCACTGAACTGTTATTTGACAAACATCAGTTAAATTAAATCTATAATCTATAATTAAATCTGTAAATTTTATTAATTAGAAAACTGTTGAATAATAGGAATTTTCTCATTCTTCTCATTCATACAGAAAAGTAGGACTTGTTTACACAAATATAATTAATCATTTCAGCAATGATATGGATTATTCACTTAAATATTTGAAAAGAGGACATAATCTTACATAAAGTGAAGTGAGTCCTTTAAAATCATTTTCTTTTATTTCCTTGATTTTATTGTTTTGAAGGTCTATCATTCGAGTGTCAAATGGAATATTACTTGGGACTGAGGTCAAACCTGAAAAACAAACAAACATATCATATACAAGAAAACTAGGCTAAACATAAGATTACTAATATGATTAAAATATACTTTCTTAGAGAATACATGGTTGTCAATAAACAACAAAAGTCTTACTATTCTTATCAATGACAAAATACTCTCGGGAAAGGCCTAAAGACCTTTTCAAGTAACCCAATTATTTTTATGGTTTACCAGCTGCTCCTTGAGAACCCTATACAGGGTTGCTATGCATTGGAACCCATTTGAGGGCACTTGACTACAGAAGATTGTTTTTACAACAATGAGCTATCTGTCTGCTCATCTGTCTAGCTGGGTCTAGCGGTCATTGCTCATCAATTCCGAGCTGAAATGATTGTTGGTGTTAGTTATCATTCAATTTTGACTTGCAGCAACTGTTATGAATTGAATTGTATTCCTCAAAAATAGTGTTGTACATCCTAACCTCTATGCCTTTGGTTATAATCCCATTTGGGAATGGGTTGTCTTTGCTATATTAATGGGAAACGTTATTGTAGGGTGTATCATGAGTCAATCTGTTTTGAGATACATTGCTGTTAAGTACCATCAAGTCAACTCTGACTCATGTTTAGGGTTTCATGTATAGGGTTTTAGAGAAGCATCTGGTGGATTTGAACCATTGACCTTGCAGTCTAGTGTTTAAAAGCAAGCTAGCAAGCTTTGGGGATAGGGGAGGAAGGGGGAGAGAGATGAAAACCCATATGAAGATCACACCAGGATTAAAAGCTCCAAAGAGAAAAAGACCTTCTTCCAGAGCTAGCAGAGAGAAAAAGCCTTTCCAGAGAACCAGCACTCTGATTTCAGACTTGTACACTGTAAGAAAATAAATTTGTTGAAGCCACCTACTTGTAGCATATGTGTTGTTAGCAGTATTAGATAACTAAGATAGACATCACATGTGTCAGAGTAAAATTTTCTAGACTGTAACTTTACTGGAACAGATGACCAGGCTTTTCTTCCATGGTCTTGCTGGGTGGTTTTGAATTGCCAACTCTAGGTTAGCAGCCATCCAGTACTCCTGAGATGAAATTAAACAGGGGTAAACTGGGACTGCTGCTGCCACTGTGAGCATGTTACCAACCGCTGAGACATGGCTTCTGGTGATTCATTTTAGTCTGAGAAATAATAATATTCTTTTCAAATCTTTAGGCTGTTGTATTGCCAAGTTGGAGAAAGTGAGTCTTGATCATTTCAAGAAGCCTCAACATGTAAAAAGTTATGGGTAGAAAATAGATCATTTTCATTAACATCATAAAAAATTTTATTACTTACTTTCAGTAGTGAGTGCCTCTAATTATAAATTATTTTATTTATAAAACTTATTCGTAGTTGTTGTTGTTGTTAAGTGCCAATTACTAGGGTCGAGTCAACTCCAACCCACAGCTACCCAGTATAGGATTTCTGAGTAGCATCTGATGAGCTTGAACCACCAACCTTGCAGTTCAAGCTCACCAGCTGCTATTCATAGTAGCTCTTCATTAATATCTATTTCTCATCATCCACATCATCTATGTAAAGGTAAAGTGATATAGTTCACAACCATTATCTAGTCAGGAACCCTAATTTAAGGTTTTTAATCTTAAATTAAAAGCACGGGCCTGCTTTTTAATCAGCACCTCTCTTTGCGTGTGCAAGAATAATATTCTATCATCAAAGAGCTTTAGTGGTGCAGTGAGTAAAAGCTCTTGGTTGCTAACGGAAAGATCCATGGTTAGAACCTACCAACCACTCCAGGAGAAAAAGATGTTCCAGTGTGCTTCCTTGAAAGTTTTACTGCCATGGAAATCCTATAGAACAGTTCTAGTCTGCTCTGTAGGGTTCCTATAAGTTGGAATTGGGTCAAGAGTTTTGTTTTTTTTCTGACATCTCTAATGAGGTTTAGTTGCATATTTCTTCCTTGTGTAGTTACTCAATAAATATTAATTAATTAAAAGATTTAAATGTGCTGTTTTCCCTCTTCTTGAATTAAATCGAATGAACATAAAATTATCAGGAGCTATGTGTGGCCACAAGGTTGGTGGTTGAAACTCGCCAGCTGCTTCTCAGAGACCCTATACAGAAAGGGTCACTATGAGTCGGAACTGACTTAACAGCACTTAACCAAAAAAAGTATTCATTCCTTGCTTTTCTTGCTTGACCCGTCTTTGGGCCTGTATTATTGTCAGCCCTGCTATACAAAATTAGGCTTGGTAAGCATCTGGCCTTCTTTTCTTCCCCCACCATTTTATTTTGAAAATATTCAAACATACAGAAAGTCTAAAGAATTTCACATTGAAACCCATATTTCTACTACCTATTGTCTATCGTCAACATTTTATATACTAACAATTACTGTCCACACATTAATTTATCTTGGGTTTTTTTGTTTGTTTTTTTTTTCATCTAAAGTGAGTTGCAAATATTAATACACTTTGTTGTTATTGTTGCCAAGTGCCATTGAATCAGTTTCAGCCCATAGTGATCATCTGTAGGGTTTCTGAGGAGCAGCTGGTGAGTTGGAACCACTAACCTTGTGATTCAAACCAACTTGGCAGTCCAGTGCATTAACCCACAGCACCAAGCTAGGACTCTTTAACACACTTTAGGTGGGACAATTCTTACTCCTTAAATAGTATGTCTCAACAGCGCCTAACAACAACTATATTTAATTGTCCGACATTGATGAATTCAGTAAATATTTTTAATATGAATATTTTGAATACAAGATTGGTGGTTCAAACCCATCCTTGGAAACCCTATACAGGGTTGCAGTGAGTTAGAACTGACTCAGTGGCACTTAACAACAACAACAACACTACAACTCTATGTGCTTTAAAATTGACGCTAAAAAAACTGGATCATATATAGAAAAAGGAAAAGGAGGGAACATTTGGAAAGGTAGAAAAAGAGTTTTGTTTTCAGAATAGATTAATTTTGCCATCACTTAACAACATGAGCCTACAAGATTATTTTAGCTATGGAAAATGAAGTAGAGGATCTAGTAGAAAGCTGGGAAATCTTACAGCAGTATTTACCCCCACCTCGTTGAAAATTAAAGCTCTGGAAAGAACCTTATTTCCTAAAGGAGAATGTGTAAGAGCTGTCCAGATCCTTGTAAAACATTTTGTTTTTATCATCATTTGTCATTGCCAGTGATGATGATGTGTTGCTTTAAATGTATGCATCATACTATCACAGATATTCTTAGGTGAATTTGATTTAGTATTTAGAAGTCCGTGTAACCAAAACACTTTCTACAAGCTGTCATGAGGCAGTTTTGTTTTTCTAAAGTTTTGGATGACAGTTGTGTACTGGAGCAGTTCTGTGCAATGTGTCCTCCCTCCAGTGGCTTTAAGTGGAAAGCAGATGCCTTTGCTATGAGTAACAAATTTTGAAGGCTGCCCACACATGGGAATGGTTTATACTAAAGATAAAAAGCTCCTTCTTAGAGTCTTACCCAGAACCATCCCTGATTATATCTAACTGTGTAAAAATAGCTGCGTATATATTTTATTCTGTCTAGGGACTCCTGGTGAGGTGCTGTAAGATTAGCACTGAACTGTGAACAACAAGGTCTACAGTTCAAATCCTGTATAGAGTTGCTGTGAGTTGGAATTGACTGTACCACATTTAACAGCAACAATTCCATTAAAACTTTCCCAGTGAGTCTAGCTTATAATAATATTTTCTATAGGCATTTTGGAGTCCTGGTGTGGCACTGTGGGTTTATGCACCAGATTGTAAACCCGTTTGAACTGTAAGGTCAGTGGTTCAAGCTCACAAGCTGCTCCTCGGAAACCCTGTACAGGGTTCCTATGGGTCAGAATCGACTCAACAGCACTTAATAACAACATGTGCAATTTGTTCACATCACTTATTTTGTCATATAATTGCACACTTTGTAAAGTTCTCTTAAGTTTCGCAAGCTTCTGACTCGCCACAAATACTTGTGAGATAAAAACAGCAACAACAAAAAACTAGCCTTAAAGCTTTCAGTGACATCTTTTGCACATGTTCATATATAAAGCACCTTTGATAGGTCATCAGCCCATAATGGGAATTGTATTTACCAGACATTGCCTGCCCACTGTAAATATGCCTCAGCCCTTCCTCATTTGTTCCTCTTATGTTCATACACACTCTTCAAGAAAGGAGACCTTTGCTTTGCATGCATGTTTCTTCATTGAAAATATTAAAAATATAAATACTCCATTTCCAAAACAATTAGGTGGCTCTATAGGATAAGCACTGAACTGCTACTACAAGCTTGGTGCTTCAAACATACCAGCTGCTCCTCAGAAGCCCTATACAGAGTCCCTATGAGTCAGCATTTAACAACAACATTAAATTATAAAGAGAAGTGATTTAGTTTAGCAACTTCTCTTCTTGGCTGTTCTAAACCCTAAACTATTTGAAACAGAACATTGCCTTTAGTATTTCTAGACTGTTGTTGTTGTTAAGTGCCGTCGGGTTGGTTCCGACTCATAGCGATCCTCATGAAGACCTTTTCTATCTTTTCACTTTTTCAAGCAAGGTTGATGTGTGTTCTTACCTAGATCAGAACAGTGAACAACTCTTGAGTAGCACTGACATCCGAAGGGACATGTGGGAAACATATCAAATGGAAAAAAGGGATAAGTTGGAGTTCTTGTTGGAAAAAGAGAATTATCATTGTCGTCGTCATCATCATCTGAATCTAAATCTTCCATATCCTTCAGCATCATGTTCTTTAATGCCATATGCGAAGGGCTAAAGAAGGGTTTGGCAGAGCACAAAGCCAAGAACAGTAGGAACACATATTCCTTCATGTTACCTTCAAGTAGAGGACCAATCTAGGATTAAATAGACATTAAATAGTAAGGTAAAGTTCAAACAAATGTAATTCCTGCAACTATATATTACTCAGAACTGGCAAGAGTACAATGAGGTGGCATTTTTTCCATTGCTAGTATGAGAGTAAATTTTAAAAACTTTTTGAAAGTCATCCAGCAATATATATTGGGAGTTCAAAAATATTCTTACGTCTCACCCAGTGATTCTACTTTTAGGAATCTAATCTAAGGAATAATTATTATGTGCAAACAGATGTTCACCAAAGAAATATTTACAATAAAAGCAATTGAAGACAATTCTAATGGTTAATTGTTTTCATAATTTCAAATGGTTAAAAGGGAATTGTAAACCCTTTTGCCTTTCTGTATTCCTCAAAGCAAGATGGATCATCAGCAGTTGTACTGGACCACCTAGGAAAATTCTGCCAAGGTTCCCTCTCTTGCCTGTGTGCTCAGACCTTCAGGGTCTGATCCAGAAATAAGGCCTCAATATGTGCTGCCAGTCATTCCAACAGTACACAAAAGGCAGAGGCTTTGTCAGGTTGGACTAAGTGACCTGTCAATGGATTATCCAAGACAGCTAACCAACAACAACAAAAAATGCCAACTCTTTATACATAACATTTTAAATTTCAATTATGTCTGCTTTAATGTGAATGGAATAGTTAACTGGTTAAGAAAATCTTTTTAAAAAAATATATTATCACCTTCCAACAAAAGCGGGGTAGGAAATAGCAAAACAAATGGGGTGTATTTATTTGGCAAAATATTTTTAAACCCACAAAATGTTTGCAAAGATGTTTAAAATTATGAAATATTTTTAATGGAGTGAAAATTGCAAATATAAAATTCCACATATAGTATATTTTTTAAAACCCAGCAACCATAAAAGTATAAAAACCACTAAAATGAATATTCAAAAACTGGATGCAACTCTAAGGCATCTAACAACAACAACAAATTGATTATAAGCACTGAGTTTTGTGTCTTTTTGCTTTAATTTTAATAATGAGAAAGTATTACTTTTATAATTAGAAAACACATAAATATTTTTTTCCAACACAACACCAGAAAAGTTAGATGAGCAAAACTGACTCTCTGTTGCAAAAATTCCTTCCATTGAGTGAAATCCTCAATGCCTCCTTAGCACACATCTGGAAGTTATCTTGAACTGTCTTTCTCTCCCTTAACCTCATTCTCATAATTGTTCACTTTTTCCACAATGCCATTTGGATATTTTTCTTTCTAATCTATTCCATTTCTAATACCTGATCCAAAGCATCTGATGTCCGTGCTATTATTTCTTACTAATCTTTCCACTTAGTTCTGTGTTTTAAGTGGTAGAGGCAGGAAATGGTGTTTGTTTTCAGTTGTAGCTTTAAAAGTACATAGATAGTTATTGTTTATTGGATAGCTAGAACATGCACAAGGGTCTCTGGCAGCATAGCGAATTACGAGCTGGGCTGCTAACTGCAAGGTCAGCAGTTCAAATACCAGTCGCTCTGAGCAAAAAAGATGAGACTTTCTGCTTCTATGAAGAGTTACAGTTTTGGAAACCCTATACAGTGTCGCAATGAGTCAACACTGACTTGGTGGCACACCACTAAGCACAGATCCATTGGCCTCCAATGGCTGAAATTCCCATAGTTGTATTACAGATCATAGTTGCTAAACTATTACCTGTAAAACTTGTACATTCTTAGAAATTTCCAAAAATTAAAAACATCATTCAAAACAAATAAATCCCAACTTTCCCTATGAGTCTTGAATTTTCTTTACACAGAGATTCTCATTGGTGAGATTGGGTCCTGACAGAAGATATCCGCATGTATATTGGCCCCACAGCACAGATGCATGCTCATGTCCCTTAGAACACATTCATTCAACAAGCCACCTGTCTGTCTGCCATAGACTGAGAACCAATGACTTAGCTGTGAAAAACTCTCAAAGTAAGTTCAGAGTTAGTTTTCCCACAGAAGTCTTAGCCCCCAATTCCTTGAATCATCTCAGTTGGCTACAGTTACCCTAGTCCAGAAATTTACTTTAATATCTTTCCAAAGGCTTGACTTTTCCTGGATTTAGGAATAAGACACAGATTAGATTTAATAATTAAAATATTCATTTATATGTGGAATGTCTTCTTTAATATCCATAGAAAAATCAGTCATTAGTTGTTATTGCTGTTGTATATGTTCCAACTCATAGTGGCCCTAAAGGACAGAGTAGAACTTTCCTATTGGGATTTCAAAGCTGTAATCTTTCTGGTAGCATAGTGGTAACGAAGGGATGCAAACTGCAAGGTCAGCAGTTAGTAACTACCAGTTATTCCACGGGATAAAAATTAGGCTTTCTACTTCCGTAAAGATTTACAGCCTCGGAAACCCTGTACAGGGTCGCTATGAGTTGGAATCGACCCCACTGCACGTAACCACCACCAATCTTTACAGACTAACTACTCTGTCACTGAGCCAGCCAGTCAGGTTAACTCTTTCTGTCTCATTTTAGGTTATCTTCAAATGAGGTGTGTGGAAACCTGGCATTGGCCTCTGTTGCAGCAGTAAGATTGTTGTTGTAAAGTGCTGTTGAGTCATTTCAAACTCATAGTGACTGTGTATATTCTCTCTGTCAAATTACCTGCGGCTTCATTTTCAATATCACCTTTGTCTTTGGAATGTTGTTTCTGTGTCTTGGCTGCCTGAAGAACTTGAGCCATTGTTTATTGACTTTTTTTTTTAATGTTTTATTGTGAATTATGTGATAAGTTTACATGGGAGAACATTAATTTTACATTCATCCTATCGTATATCATTTCATTGCCATGGTTACAATCCCCTCCATGCATCATCAACCAACCAAAGTGTATACACTACAAGCCTGTCCCCTGGTCGTCAGTACACAGCCCCTCTCCATCTCTGTGTCTAAAGTCCCCAACTGCTCCATCTCTCCACGTCATCGTCTCTACCTCCATCTCAGGCATCTCTTCTTTTCTGGGTAGGGTCCCACTCTCTGCTCTTCTTTCTTCATGGTCCCAGGGACCTCTGCTCCTGGACTGAAAAGTTAATCACTTCCCTCCTTGCTATAAAACATCTACCTTTACTTTTCTAACCCTCACAAGCAGTCCTGATAACAATTATTAACTATTGTATCACAAGAGACCCATCCGCAATTCATCAGCTTGTCCTAGACAGATTGGATACTACTCAGTGGAGATTCTACCTTCTTTCACACCCTCTGGATCTAGGTTCCCTCTTGAAAACTTGTAAGCCTGTCACTTCTTGCCTTTGTAGCCCCCCTCCCCATTTTGGGTAGCCAATGTCCAAGTTGCCCATCCCTGTCTACTCTGTTTGTTGACTTTTGACCTCAGGCATCTTTGTAGTTCCTGGTCCTTAATGCTTGGCTCCTTGTTTGGCCTTGCCCATTGGTTTCCACATTATTCATTCTAGAGGTAATTCAGAGCTTGAGTTTTACTTAAATCAAAGCTTGACCCTGATACCAGTTTAATCTTTAGAGTTCTTTTTATATTCTAACTGCCTTCTGAGTCCACAACTGCTGTTGACCTTGGCTGCCTGTGCCTTTTCTGACCTGGTCAAATAGAATATGTTGAATTAGAAATGTATTTGGGGTCTTGTCTCTGGCTTTCTTTAAACTTGCTAGAGTTAATCAGTGGGCATTTACCAAGTACCTCTTGTGTACCAAGCAGGTGTACACTTCTTGGAACTCAAAGGTGAGTTCATCTACTCCAAGTAAGTATGGAATTGCTATAAAAGTTAATGGCATGTACGTTAGTAGAAAAACTGAAAAAATTAAATGTCTAAATAGAACATTAAAGTGCAAATAGACAGAATAGACTCTTGAGTTTGGTATTCTGTGATCCAGTGCTGGGACCACACATAGTTTTGAAAAATCTCTACATGTGTCATCCTCTGATTTTTTAAAGTAAAAATTATTCTCCATAGTTTAGTCCTCCAAACCATCGATTTACTATTTAAGACCAATAGACTGAAAGACATCTATGAAAATATATATGAAAAAATACATTAAAGTAGATTCTGATATGTAAGTTATAGATAACTACATATGTATATTTATAAATCATGTGCTATATATTAAATATAAGTATATATATAATAAGAGGGATTTTGAGTGAAAGACATATTTTTTCCTCTGGTGCACGTTTTAAATTATGTTGCTATGTTGTTGTTGTTGTTGTTGTTCTGTGCCACGGAGTCGGTTCCAACTCATAGTGACCCTGTACAGGGTTTCTGAGGCTGTAAATCTTTACAGGAGCAGAAAGAGTCACCTTTCTCTCACGGAACAGCTGATAGTTTCGAACTGCTGACTCTGAGGTTAGTAGCCCACGGTACAGCTGGTAGTTTCAAACTGGTGACCCTGAGGTTAGTAGCCTGATTCGTAACCACTACACTACCAGCGCTCCATACCAGACTGTTGTTGTTATGTGTCATGTTGTCGGTTCCAACTCATAGCGACCCTGTACAGGGTTTCCGGGGCTGTAAATCATTATGGGAGCAGAAAGCCTCATCTTTCTCCCGCGGAACAGCTGGTAGTTTCGAACTGACCTTGGGGTTCGCAGCCCGAGTCGTAACCACTACGCTACTAGAGCTCCTTCTATACCAGACTAGATATGGTTATTTTAACTCTAATTTTATTGCTATGTTGCTATGGAAATATTTTAAGTGTCAGCCTGCCAACACAATTTTTTTTTTTTGCTTAGTTTCTAATTGTATTTTTGTCTTTCCTACTTCTTCTGTACATTAGACTGATTACACAGTTGGTAATTACAATTAAAGATATTTTTTTCACAATATTCTGATTTATCTTCTACTCCCACCCAACAGTCAAGCAAAAGATTACTTATAAGAAATTGATTTGGGTTCCACAGCTTATTAACTTATTTTCTTAAGAACTAACCCTATTTGCTCTGGTCCATGGAATAGGAGTCCTGGTGAGGATGAGCTTGAGCCTCTG